ACTCCTCCGTGCATGTGCCTCTAATATATGGTAATAATAAGTTGTCCTTTATAAAAAAAAAGGTTTTCCGTGTTTGCTCCAATGATATATAAGAACATTTTCACTGCCTTCGTATATACCGCGTACGTATTTTCGCTCTACACTAGTCCTCGCAACACCTTTTTAGACAAAAAAAAAAAGTTATACATTCCATCTACGGATTCATTATACCCTAATCATCCTTGCTAATATTAACCACTGGGTCTTCCTTTTTCTAAAACATTACCACTTTTGTCTTTATGAAAGCCTCGTACATATAAAGTAACCAACTAAATATAAATATAAATTGCCCAGCTCTGTCAAAGTGTCAATACGAAGAATAATAACCAGTACGTAAGCGCCCTAAACTATAACATATAAATTGCCCACCTATGCCATGTTTAGAAACAAAAATTCATGTTAAATTAACATTAATGCTCCATGATATTAAAAAAACTATATAACTTGCTATTTTAGATAAATATTCTTATATTTTGAAATTAAGTATATATTATAATATATTTATATTGATAGTTTAGTTGTAAGCACTCTAAAGTTTTTCAAAAAATATATGGTTGCACCTACATCTTTTCTTTTAGAGAGAAAAGAAATCTCTTGCACTACGGACAAGCCAAGCTAAAAATGCATGTTTATTCTATGTAGCAACTAGCAACTAAGAGTACAATTAGGACATCGAATCAATGTTCTTAATAAAATCGAAAAAGAGGGTTCAAAATAAGAAGTGTTATGGGCACTATGATTAACTTAAAACGGAGAGGAAAAATGTTCTTACAAATCACATAATATTTGGAACTCAGAAACCAAAACTTTGTATCTATTTTAAAATACTGATGTCTCTTAAAATAGCTAACCCATGTAGAGCACGGATTAATGGAGTAGTCGCCACATAATAGCAAAAAACAGGGGCGCATGCACCGAGCTGTAGTAGGATGTTGCTAGATATAAATATTGTAGTGGACACTAAAAAAAAGGAAACAAGCCCTCTGATTAATAGATGCATATATTTTTGTACGCTACATCTAAGAATAACAAGACAGATCCTGGCAAATGGCCACCTATGTCAATCATTACAAAGATTAAGATTATCATCTCTATAAACCAATAATTATAGGTGGTTTTCTTACGTTGCTCGCCTCTTTGAGACATGCGTCATAAGGAAACCACCTCTGTGAATGATTATTTTTAGTGTCAAGGCTCTTAAGGGCATTGTCTCTAGAAATCAATTAACAGAGGCGACACTCAGCCCCGTCTTTATAAATAGTTATCTAAAAAATCATTACTTTTTCATATGAAGTCGGGTGAAAATAAATTTTATATCAAAATTATAGAGCTCAGTGTGTCTACGTCTTTGTAGCTAACATGTTTTGATATGAAACTACTTAGATCCCCAAAAATTCATTTGAGGTTCTTAGATTTTGAAAATTAAATTTTAAAATTTCAAACAACCTCAGATGTTGGCTTGGCCTGTACTTGTCAATGCGGTATACAAACTTTTTTAGTTGACAAGTTTTTTATTTGAAGTCATTTAAATATTCGTTTTAAATTCTCATATGTTGAAATTTAAAATTTGGAATTTTCAAACGATCTCAAATGTTGACATGGTCTATTTTAAAGTTGTAGTGCTCGATGCAGTTTACAACTTTGTAGTTGATAAGTTTTCTATATTATTAAATCCTTTAGAGTCCAAAATATTCGTTTTTAAATTATCATAATTTGATATTCAAAAAAAAATTCTAATGATCTCGGATGGAGACACGTACTATACCAAAAATATAGTACTCGATGAGATCCAAAACTTTGTAGTTGAATTTTTTTATTAAAAATCATTTAGGGCCAAAATATTCAATACAAGACAAGTGAGTGTATAGTATAGTGGTAGTGATGAGACACGAGAGACGAGACGTCATGTGTTCGAATCCTAGGAAGCACACGTGCATGTATTTCACACGAAAATCGTGTGACTTATGACTTGTGACGCTTGATCGTGATGCCTAGCTAAGGTGGCATCCACCTCTATAAATGTTATTTGCAGAGGCGGGCACCTTAATTGATTTACAGAGCTGATCCAGCGGACCGCCTTAGTTTTGCTTGGAGGTTGAAATCTAGTTTGGCATTGACATAGCACAGTGTGTTTGAGAAGGTTGATTAGTCTGCAAGGCAAATGGTATATATATGCAGAACCCACTTCACCAATGGATACCTCATTGATGAAGTGAGTGTTGATCTTGGTATGTGTTGACACAATTATGGTTCCACACCTAAGGTGCTAGAGTGCACGGATCGCGAGCAGATCGATTCATGTAATTCAGCAGGATTCAACTTGATAGATCAATTCCATGTGACTATTATCATTAATGATGATTACAGTTTACCAAATTAATTGATAGCTCGATGGTTTCACTTTTGTGTTGTTTTTAGGGTTTATATTTTTTCTAACATATATGTAACAGTTTTATTATTAGTTATGTTGTGTGTTAAGCTGTTGAAGGATACCACTAACCGTAATACTACTTTGTAAGTTTCAGGCTTGTGAAAACTGTTTGGCGCACGTCTCGCGAGACGATCAGATATCTTGGATTTGTAGGCTCAAGGAGGTATATGATTCATTTATCTTGATATTTCTGTACTTTGCTACTATTGACGTGTGAATGAAGGACATAGAAGTAGGCTAAATCAGCCTATATTAAATGGTCTTTAGCGAACTGTAGCGATAGGGACAAAGCATCTGTAATTGATCTGTTTCATCTCACCACTATTGGCCCTTGTTTTATTTTAAGTTGAAGAAGTCATAAACTGTGAACTATGGTACTTGGTCTGCCTTGAACACTAAGCTTAGCCTATAAGATGTTCTAGAATTGAAGCCTCTACTTTTGAAACTATTTTTAAAACCAAGCTAAGTTTCTGATGGTGGTTTTGCATGCGGAGGTTTTAAAAAAAATGAAAAATCTCATCATCTGTACAGAAGTATAGGTCATGTTGCAAAATGAGGACCTGAAAAAAGAATCATCGACCATTTCTTCTTCCACAATAATTATGGACAACTAAGTATTTGTTTTAAGAGAAATTTTACTATGATTGAAACAAACTGGTGCTCGTATGTCTATTTGTTATCTATGTTTCCACGTAGGGAACAAACTGCTCCACATAGGGAACAAACTGCCCCATTTCTTTTGAAAAAATTTATCTTTGAGATATCGCATGGTCACCATGATTTATTTGGTCATGATTTGAGGGTCAAACACCACCCTCAAGAACTGGTGAAGGATATATATAGACAGACAGTCTTCTGAATTTTGGCCGGATGATCCCAATAGAGTACTCCCTCTATAAAGAAATGCAATTCTAAGTATGAATATAGAGAGGCACTTCCTCTGTCCCTAATTAAGTGTTACCGTGGGATCCGTGCCAGTCAATTTTTTTAAGTTTGACTATATTTGTAGAAATTATTAGCAATATTTGTGTCTTCAAATAAATCTATTATAAAAGTAAATTCAAAAATCTATCCAATGTTAATAATTATGTACCATAAATATTATTATTTTTAAATATATATTTAGTTAAAGTTGAGGATGTTTGACTTCTTGATAAGTAAGAACAACAGATAAAAAAAGGACGGGGGAGTACTAGTTTAGTATTCAAATGAGACCGGGCACTGACATTTAGGGTAGGGAATTGAATTTTCTAATGGTCGTTTTTGCCTATTTAATTTCTGACCACGAACATATCTTGATTATGTAGGCTCGTCATCGGAACTTACAATACAATAGAAGTCCTGGAAATTGACATGGAATCAGTAGCATGTCATCAATAAGGACATGCGCACAAAATTGGCCATCGCTTTGTTATTTGTCTCCGGTGTATGTTTGCATGCCCGGCGATCAAGGACAACTCTGATGAAATGAACGCCAAAAGTGAACAGAATATTTCCCGGATGATAAGCTCTTGGCGTAGAAACAGAAGTTATACACGCGTACTCTATGTTGCAGCAGAGAAGCAGATAAGATGATCAGATTTGAGTTCTCGGAATCATTATCCCTGTTCGCTTGAGCTACTTTTCAGCCATGGAACAGTATTTTCCTCTCACAATATTTCAGCATAAGCATCAGCATAAGCTAAATTTCAGCGTAAACGTCCCTCCACATAATATAAAGTTTATTTACAAAAGGCAGCTGGTTTGGGGGTTGCCGTGGAGAAGTGGATGCAGAGATTTGTCTACGGGCTACCGTGGGCCTAGTTGTGCGTGGCTAGGATCAGCAGACAGACAGACACACCCTGACTATTGGTCCAAACCTAATTATGTTCATTCTTCTTCTGAACCGAAAAATTTACTTTCATTGTGTTTGCATTGGTATACAAGCTTCTTCTGAACTGAAAATTTTACTCTCCTTGTGTTTGCATTGGTATACAAGAGATTGCGTGTCTGCAAAAAATACTCATAGTATCTTGGCCACCTGCATGCTCTATGATTCAGTGATTCACGCTCACCATCTAAGCCTGTTTAGTTGTGCGGGCAGGCAAGGCTGCCATGCAGCAGCCTCATGTCATCGATTTCAGTTCAGCCGTCTAGCGGCTATGATGAGTTTGCTCGGTTGCCTGCGAGGCCACTAACCAAAACACGCCTTTAAATCCGTCAGTACAAACCTACTGACTCGAACTCCTAATTTCTTCCTCGATTGGAAAAATGGAAAACGTACAAAAAAAAGAAGAGAGGCGATACTCCTACTCCTGTCGTAGGCCTCGAGCCCTCGACTGTTCAGCTCCAATGGGCCGCCCATAGGCCATAGCCCATGCCTGCCAGTCGCCGCTCGGCATCTGCCCGCTCCTGTCCTTTCCAGTTTTCCACCACACAAAACAAAACAGAACAGAGGAGAGAGAGAGTCCTCGAAACTGAAATCTTCGCCGTTCCACTCTTCCCCAGCAATCTGCTCATTTCCTTGCGAGTTGCAACCTTGGTGCTGTGGATGGCGCTCGCAGTGAGCGCTCTCTCCTGTCGCCGCCCACTGCCCTTCAAAGGTACTGCTATTTCGCCATCCATCTTCCAGCGTTCTTGGCCCAATTTGATTTCTACACATCCGGCTGTTTCACTTCGTGGGAAATCCATTCTCCACCAACCATGGTCCATGGACTCTTTTCCGGCCATTTGGCTGTTTCGGAGATAGGGTTATATGTACATGCTCTCGTGATGCAGGGTGATTGAATTCAACCATCCACTATTTCTTGGGGATGCTTGCTTTTGTTCAACCACAAGCATGGCAGATTGGCAGTGATTGGAGGAACCGAAAAATATAGTGGATTAATATATCTTCAAAAGCTACTGTAGCAAGGGGGAGGTCATAAACTCCCATACCGATATACACCTATAATACCGGAAATCAAATACACCTATAATACCGTAAAATCGATTTCAAGTTTTCAAACAGTATATGGTAGAAACTGTAACCATATAATACGGCCCCCTCATCCAGACACTGCAGTTGGTGCTGTAGTAACTAGTCTAATCGGAAAAAAAAAATGTTCATGTCAGTGTTAGGAAGGCTGAACATAGGACCATTTCCTTTTCCTCTGTAAATTGACCTTCTTGCGTATGTTTACTACTTGCGTTTTCATGTGGAAATGTCTGACTATATCATTCTTTTTTAGAAACTATTGCTTATGTCATTCTGGTACCCTTACATTGACAGATAATGCTTGATTAGGTTGGAACGTGGAAAGCCCGGTTGCTACATGGAAACATATGCAGTCTGGCCGACTTACTGTAAGCAGTGTTCTGTCACATGAGTGACTTTTAGTTGCTCTCGATGTATGCATATGACAGACATACATTGTTCGATATTGAAGGAGGTCATAACATTTGCGACAAAGAACACCAAGAGGAAAAGGAGAAGTTTTCCAAACGAGTCAAAGGATTCGCTGTTGGTAAGTGAGGAAGCTTCTTCGGGCAGTGGAGGAAGTGCCAGCACAAGCCTTGACGTCAATAGCGAGGATGTTGCTACTGTCGATCAGATTTCAGGTGCCCCAAGGACTGCTGTTCTTCAGGCTTGCACTCTCACATCAGGCTTGCTGCTTGCTGGAGGGCTTCTGCTTCGCCAGGTAAACACTGTGGTGTTCTCTAGAACAACTTTCAGTTCTTGAGACGGCTTTGATAGCGAATTCTAAATGTTGATTTGGTGTAAGTTATACTAAATGCATATGAGTTTGTGCTCTGCTGTTACTCTTGCAGTATCCTGAACTCTTTATGAACCCAGATTGCTTACTTTTTGCCCTCTGTATCAAATCCTGAATTTCATAATAAAATGGCTGATTGTCTACTGTAGGCATCACACCTAGCATCTTTAAATGGATGGCCAATTGCTGATCCTACAGATGTTTCATGTAAGTTTTTTCTACATCTTTACAAGTAAATCAGATTTAATGTGATATTTCTGACTAGGCAAAATGCCTTATATCATATTATGAACTTAACTACTGCTTTTTCTGCAGTTAATTTTGAAACTTGGCATCTTGAGTTGGTTGCGGGACTTGTAATAGTAATCTCCTCTAGTAGATACATTTTGCTACAAACATGGTCAGATTTCAGAGATTCCAGTGAAGCTGCAAATAGACAAGTTCGTAACTATGAATACTTCGAATATCTTTTGAGTTGTCTCTTTTCTTGGAGTTATTGGTTTCACGTTTCAACATGCTGATAAATAACATAGTTCTAATATCTTATAAAGGTTCAGCGTAATGAGAAGCATTCTGTTAAAAAACGAGATCCAACCTAGGAGGAACTAGACGGTTTTTCATTAAGAAGAGAAATAGGCACCCAAATTCAAGCCAAGAGAGGCCTTGATCACTTGAATCTGGGTGGTTGGTTGGGTGCATTACCACACCTCCCACCCAACCAGTTGAGCTAACCTCATTTCCTATGAAAAGCATTCTGTTATACACTGAAAGATATAGTTCTTTGTATGTTCTGGTCTTTTACCCTAATGAAACATAAAGTTTCGCAGTGCCTTGCGCCAACAGAGTTAATTATATTGGTGTCACAAAAAGAACTCTCTTTACATGAAGCCTTCCACCAACCTATTCTTTACTCCCTTCAATTTCGCATATTTGTGACTACCAATCCAGAGTTCTAGACATGCAGGTGTAGGATACTAGGATCTCTTTCCATTCTATTGTCAACAATTAGTCTGTAATGTCTTCTCCTGAAATCACTTTTGGACTCGAACCTTGCCAAGCTTACTCAGCATTTTTAGATACTGGATATCTCTTATTGAAATCCAACTCAATTATTTTATTTTCATCCATTAGATCCTTACATCTCTAGAGCCTCTGGACTACATTGTTGTTGCTTGTCTCCCTGGGATGACTGAGGTGAGCTCATTGATTAAAAGATAATATTGCTTAAGAACACTGGTTTGGTTAATAAAGTAACTTTTTATGTACACTTTACATATAACAGGAGTTGCTCTTTCGAGGGGCGATGATGCCTATCTTGGGACTGAACTGGATTAGTGCCCTTATAATCGGAACCATTTTTGGTGTTCTTCACTTGGGCAATGGCAGGAAATATTCATTTGCAATCTGGTACATACTTTTCTGCAGTATTTTTGCATGTGTGCAACTGGAAAAAGTGTACTATCTCCTGCTATACACATAAGTGTTAACATGTTGATAAGATTCAGATATATTCTTATACATTTTTTTATGTTTCCAGGGCAACATTTGTTGGCTTTGCCTATGGTATAGGAACCATAGCTTCCTCAAGCATTATAGTTCCAATGGCTTCTCACTCCATAAACAATATTATCGGAGGTTTACTTTGGCGCATTACCAAGAACTCACAAAAGTAAATACTAAATATACATAATACCCTTAATAGTCATCCCTGTAAGATCTTGCACAAGTTTAGACTTTTTAGTCCTTAGCCTTATTAGTCATATAGTCAGTATTAGTGTCCATTATTGCTTCGCCCATGTATTTTCTGTAGCTTATTGTAGTTTTTCATTTTTCTTTTTTTTTCCTACTACCATATGGAAAATGAAGTTAAAGATGACTACTTAGTACTTACCTGTGAAAAACAGAATGTGGAGTCATGGACTCATGGTCTACAGAATATAAGTTGCAATGAGCTTGAAACTATTCTTTACTTAATGGTTACGACTTGTCAAATTCAGGGCTGTTGCTTCGAAAACAAACATAAAAAGCTATATCAATGAAATTTTCTTTTCCAGTGCTCATCCATATACAAGATATATATATAGTCAGACTTCACTCGTAATAATAAAATGAGGAAGTTACTGTGAAATCAGGCCGTACATCGTTGTGGGGGGACAAAAACAAATAACTGAAAACATATTGTCCATGCATGTTCTTCATTGAGTTCAAATTATCTGCAACACCTTCCACAAACTGGTGGACAGGAGATTGCTGAGCAAGCAGTGCTCTATGTGATGGCTGGAGCTAAGGCTCTGGGAGAGGTTTTGGGTTAGATACTGGATATGTTTGTTTAGATCTTCAAAGGCTCATATATGTATTAAAAAACGAAAATGCTACGGTTAGGGCGTCGGTCCGCCTGGACATACCTTGATGGGCCTGCGGACCGGCCCAACAAGCCTGCTATCTTCTAAGTTCTACCAAATTAACTGGACGCTTCGACGGCTTCTAAAAAAAACTGGACACTGTGACATTTCCCTACTTCGCCTCGCGGTGTTCTCCACCGCCGCACCACGCCCGCCTCGCTACCGCAGCCACCTCCATCGAGTCGGCGAGCCTCGCCGCCACTGTGGTATGGCCGCTCATGGTGTTGTTGTTGGGTGGCAACCCAACCCAAAGAAGCGCACCACGCAGCGCCCTAACGCCGCGTGTGGTCGAACAACCGAAGAGGGGCGTCGCCGCCGAGCCCAAGCCAGCGTGGGCGTGGTAGCCACTTCTTCTGATGTGAACCGCCCAATTTATACAAGATCAAGTACGGTTGTCTCCGCTAACACGTTGACACACTCATACTTTCACTCATATAAACCCGGTAGTCTGCCGAGTGTCTCGAAAGACCTCAGTAAATCAACATCACAACCAAGATCGCGTGATTAAGCAAATACACATCACATACATCGGGTTGCAGCGAAAATAATATTACAAAGGGGTTAACAAATAATAGTACAAGTTTGGGTTTCAAAACCGCTTAGTGAAAACAACATAGCTTTCAAATGATTACATTAATATTAGTTCCAAATATATTGCTAGCATAGTGACATCATCCGACAAAAACATATAGATGAGAAGTAAGTATAGAATCACCGAGTCCATCGGTGGTTAGCCACCATCATCAACAGCTCGAGAACATCACCTGCAACAAGGTGGGATAAACCCTGAGTACTCGAATGTACTCAGCCAGACTTACCCGTCTTAAACCAAAATAAAGCGACACCAAGGATTATGCATGGCTTTCTTTAGTGGGCTAGCTGACTTGTTTGCGAAAAGCATAAGCTATCATGAAGAAACCATTTTAAGTACTTTGCATCATCTTTATTATGACCTATCCATCTAGGTAAGCACCTGTACTATAGCAATCACTTGATTAACCAATAACATCCGGTTACCAATTTAGATTTAGCATATCCCATATCATCCAGATAACCATCATTGTTCCATAATAATTACTACGATGCCGTAACTCGAGTCAAGTGCTCACTGTCCAGGAGCGATGGCGATTCGAATCGATTCCTAACCAGCTGGTGATTTATTCCTTACACAAACCTCACTCACCCGCTAAAGTGAGATATTGATCACCGAGTCAACTTTCCAGTAATCTCGAGTTTGCCAGGAACCACATGTACCTGGGGGCCGACCGACTGCACTTTGGTCTTATCATCTCGCCCCCGTGTCCTACCACACCTGCTCCGGCACAGTGCGCTGCGGGCAATCTACTCGGCCCGAAAAATCTCCCAGCTTCGTGGTCGGAAGGTACTTTATCCGGCCAGCTAAATGTAAGGCATGCGTTCAACATGACTCGAGGCCCAACAACGGTCGGTCCTTAATCGACACAGACGGAAACTAACAGCACCCCAGAACCCTGTCTGGTTGCCTCCAACTTTTTCCGTCCGGTCTCCAATTATCCATCACACATGGTTAATTCCAGGATATCATTCTTTCCATAGCTAAATTCTTCCAGTAACCACCTATAATGTAGGTGACCGGATATCTTCGATCGCTGCCGGTCTAAGCAAGGCTAAGCAGTTATTCGATCCTGACCTAACAGGGTAAAAAGGTAATAAGGTAGGCAAGGATAGTAATAAATGCATCAACGGTTTCAATCAACTCCTACAACTTAATGCAACAATATATAACTCGTATATAGAAAGAATTGCTTTTATAAAGTAGGAGACTTAGAATGCTCCGGGGCTTGCCTGGGATCCGACACAAGTCAGTTCAGTTAGCTTGCACCATCCTGGTGATATCACAGGTCCTAACACTTGCTTAGCCCTTCCATCTTCAGGATAGATCCTCCATACATCGTCTTCGGGTTCGGCTTCAACATCATGTTCTTCACGTGGTTCATCTAGCGCACCTAGATGAGATGCAAGATGCGTGTGTATGAATGTGATGAATTGTAACACAAGATGCATCAAATAAACATTCAAGACAAACACAAGATTATGCAAGACATAGACACCAATATCTATTTAACTAACCTCACACCACTAACTATAGAGAGCAAGCCACTCACATAAACTCATATCAAGCAAACAAGTTATTCACAGAAATCACAGAGTCAAGGCTGCAACAGCAGCAGCTAATTTTACTCATAACAGGAGTTGTACTAATCCAAAAGACATGCAACAAGACAATCTGGAAAGTTTATGGAATTTTCTACAATTCATATTTAATCATCTTATCATGATTCTCAAGTTAACTAAGTCAATTATATCCATTTACAGAAACTGGTCCACAATTGACAGAAAGCAGCCATTTCTGAAACCCAACTTTAAACAGGCATAACTCACAAACCACAAGGCCAAATACCACCAAATTTTAACAGCAGCTAGATACATGAATTATCTACAACTTTTATATAAACAAGTTTCACAACAAAGCACATTATCATAAAGAACTTTGCTAGGTTCCCAGATCTGTCCAAAACCACATTTGTAAGAAAATAAATATTAACTTATGTTGCAAACACATAATTAGGCAAAACAAACTTTACCAACATGTCACATATGACTAAAGAACACCAGAAAACCTAGTGTCCATGACCAAATAAATTCTTTTAATGCATTTCTTAATTTATTTTAGATAACAAGGTGACTTAATGAACATATACCAAAAGTATACAATAAATTCTACAAAAATTACAGTGGCTCACATATCCTCTCAATAGTATACTGTACAAATTTCACTCCATTTGAATAGGTATAGCAACCTCTATGAAAAAGACAAGTTGCTAAAGCAAGAAATCATGTGAGAGCAAGATAAACCAATAACTCACTCATACTTCATCCAATACTCATGAAATTTTTACCACACATCAACTATCACATGAGTAGCATGCCACAAAAATTTCACTTCATTTGGAGCCCTAGATATTTAGTTATGAAAAAGACAAATACAACTAGAATTAAAAACCTAGAGGCATAAATCTATTTTTACAGCTAAAACTTTAACTAAAACATGACATCTTATAGATCTACTGCATAGACAATTTCACAAGGATTCCAAAAAGTCCACATTTACTATTTTACGAATTTCCTATGAATTACTATGCATTTCCAAAGTTCTTGCAAAATAATCACAAACCAGTCCTTACGGCACTATTCACATGAGTCACATGTTTCGCAACTGGACCCAAGAAAGAGCTTCTAAATACACGTGAGTCCTCCTTCTTCAACCTCACGGAGACAGAGCAGAGCATCGGCTCGAGGACGTGGCGGGCTCCGAATCCGCGGAAGCGACCCTAGGGCAGCGGGAAGGAAGGACACGCCCAGCCTAGCCACCCACCGTGGCCAGCCTTGTGCCATGCAAGCAGACCATGCCGCCAGCCACGAGGCATCACCGCAGCTGACGACCATGACACACCGAGGAGATGGCGTGAGGGAGCGGCAGCGTGGCGCCGGAAGAGGAGGACAAGGTTGGTTGGGGCCGCACGGTGTCTGCTTGGTGGTCGACCATGGAGCTCCACCCTGTCCATGGTGACCGCTGGGACCGGAGAGCGGAGAGAGAAAGCTGGGGTGGCGGCAGAGGGAGTGGGGAGGCGAGTGAGGAGGGATGAGTGGCGCTCGGGCTCTCTAAATCGACGTCTTGTGGCGTGGTGGACATGCGAGAGAGCGTCGGGCCACGCGGCGGTGAAGCGCTGCGGCCGGTCGGCCATTGCTACTGTTCTGAAGATTCAAAAATGTAATACCACCTCAAACTTACGACTGAAGTTCGATTTTCTCCCCTCCATATCTCTCGAAACGATTAGTAATTTGATCAACCAATTAGACCGTATGATAGAGCTACATGAGTACAACAACTTTGATTAAGGGACCTAGGATTGATTCGGCCTATTTTGAGAGATAAAAGGCTGCAAAGTAGGCTACCTGAAACTGAATCCTGAGTTTCAGTTTCAAGTCGACTGAAACTGCATTCTTCACCCTCTTCTAACTCATAAACGGAGTGATGAAAAACTAAACCAATTGCACAGTGTCGTAGAGCTATATGAGGACGACAACTTTGCTTAAATAATTTTGGCCAAGTTCGACATGATTTGCAAACTAAAAATCACCAAAGGCAGGTACATGGAAACGGAATCGAGAATTTCAGTCATTCCAGACTTAGCTGATTTTCGAACCACGAAAACACAGACCTTTGGATTCGATCTTACGAAGCGACATTTGACTCGGCTAGGCACTAAATTAGCTCTTGATCCTTAAACAAAATTTGTTCTACCTAACATGAGCTTCAACTTTTATTTAATGTCCAACTTCAAAACAGGCGTAGAAGCTATAGTTCTACTTTGACCAAAGAAGGACCACGATAAAGCTTAAATTATCCTTTGTGATCCATTGGAGCATTTTCTTGGCATTTTTATTCCAAACTTCATGAAACTTTCCGAGTGTCCAATATAGATGGGTATTGATGTGAGACATATGAAGATATCCCAATCACACCACCCAAGCATATATCTTGAAAAGGGGTCTATAGGCGTGCAAAGGTGCAATCTCTAAGTTTAGGTTGGGGCTCGTTTCTATAGGTTTGACCTTGACATCTTCATCATCACTTAATATACCATGTTTTAGCTCAAACCCATTGCTTAACTGGTGGCAAACACCTGGGGTGTTACAGCTGCCAGGCTGCGCCACCATCCTCGGCCGTCAGCTGGCCGAAACCGGCCGTTCCCTGCTCTTGCTTTGCGTCGCACGGAAGAAGAAGGGGTGAAAAGCATGTTGCAAGCGCACGTTTCTAAGTGTTTTAGAGGTACGCTGCAAGTGTTTCAGATGGATATTGCAAAATTAGATCAGAATGTTGCATATGTTGACATGGTTGTTCATGTATGTTGCAAGGGTCTGTTCCCAATGTTTCATCTGTGTTTTCGGACATATGTTACAAGTGTGTTTATTTGGATGTTGCATATATTTCACATATATGTTGCAAGTGTTTTATCTGGATTTTGCTTATGTGTTGCAATGGTTTTCAAGCGTTTTTCATGTGTTTTTTTCAAGTATTTCAGAAGCATGTTTCAAGTGTTCATCTGTCTTCATACATATGTTATAAAAATGATATTGGGTGTTGCATATGGGATGCGCGTGAGAAAGCAGGAGGGGCGTGAGCGGTCCCCATGCACAGTCTGACGGCGCGGGGTGATATCTAGGCTGCGTGAGCCCTACGTGGGAGCGTGAAATGCAGGTCCGGACGGAGGCGTGCAGGCACGAGCGGGACGTGGATGCTGTGGATTCAACTTGTAATTGGATCATTTGTTGTATCTTAATATATTGACGTGTAGTTTGTTGGAAAAAAGCCATTTGCAGTAAATTTGTCTTTGGTGCGGCGAAAGGAGGAACAATTGTAGAAACAGATAGATCCTATGAGAGTGTTACTTGCTTTTTGTGAGTAGTGTTCGGTAAAAGCAAATAGAATTCCAAATGGAAAATGAATGAAGTTACCTAATATTTGGTTTTTCACGGCTCATTTATGCAACTTCGCATTGGGCCCATTAAGCCCACAGCCCAACCTGTACTCCCGCACCCTCCCGCGCTCCCAAAGACTGCCCTCCCCGCCGCCGCCCGCCGCCCGCCCCGGACCCCTGTGCCTGCGCGGCTGCGCCTGAGCTGCTCCTCAAAACTCTCCGCCGCCCGCCGCCCGCCCGGGCTTCCGTTCCTGCTCCTCTCTCAGGTCGGGCGTGCTCCACTGCCATCCCCAAGGGAGATGGGGAAGCGCAAGCCCATGCCTTCCGCCGCCGCTCGAGGTACGAAGCCCTGCCCAAACCGATTCGGCACCACCTCCCCCCCCTCCGTTCGAGCTGTCCTAACGTGCTTTTTCACTTCTCGTGTTGCTGTTGCTGTCGTCACAGGATCGAAGAACCAGCCAAAGAGGCCGAAGTCCGCGAAGCAGGGAGCTGAGTTACCGGAGGAGAATCCCCAGCTGTCGGAGCACGATGACGGTCTGATCCTCTTCTCCTTGCGTTGGTTTCTTTAGGTCGAATGAGTAGCGGAAAGTTCTTAATTGGCTATTGACTTCACGTGCAACTCCTCCGTGTGGCCCTCATTGGATTATTTATTTATGCATCTCCATTCTCCAATGGTCTGCATCTAGTAGCAAGAAGCTTACGTTGCTAGTTTGTGCCACTAGAGAGTTTTATTGTGAAGTTACTCAACTGACGACAGGTTTTAACTCAAATTTCTTTGCGTAGTGGTGTGCAATCGTACCATCGGCCTTCCTCCACTTTCGCTCGCTTTTTTTTTTTTTTTTTTTTTGCTTCCTGTGACAAAATAGTGCCCACGCTCGTTCTTACGTAACTTAAGCATTGTGTGCAGCAGAAATTTTAGATACAGAATCCGGAGCTGCGGGGACTGTTCAACTTGACAAAAAAGCCAATGGGAGCTTTCAAGGCACAGCTCAGAGTGATGAAGATGACATGGAAGATGAATATGACGCTCCTAGCGGTGATGCGCCAGGTGATACGATAAACAATGGCAATGATTGTTTTGATGAAACAGAGACTTCACGGTTAGTGCTGCATATATGATTTGTGATTTGTGTTAGTAGTTATCTTTTTAGACTGATCTGAGTAGGTTAGCCCTCATGACTTTTACTGTCGGGGTATAGTTGAATTGGTGATTTTTCGTTGAAATTCCATCCATTATTATCAGTAAGCAGAAGTGACAAAAGATGCTTATCATTTCTATATATTGGGCATTTCCTGTTCTTGCGTGCATTGTCGCTCCTTTTTCAACACCGTCTCCGTCTATCTGTTTTGCAGTTCATTTCATCGTCATGTAAGCCACATCATGACAAATGAAGAAGTCAAGGCGTTGATGAAGAAGAACTATAAATTTAAATGGGAAATGCCTGCTGTGGACATTCCAAGGTCCAAATGGGTTGGAACAGGTGAAAAAGTGCAGGTATAGTTTTGGTTAATCCTTATGTATGTATTTTGAAATTTGTATGGTTGTCATCTGAATATTGTTAGATGATAGGGTGTACTATCCAATATTGAGATGTTCTATAATATATTTCAAGTTCGGATGCTATATTACCCTGGAATAATAACTATGCCTAATGCTGCCGAGAAAAATAACTATGCATAATATGCATAATGGCAGTGCCCATTATAGTGGCGATCGGGTCATTGTCGAACTGTATACCTCTTTCATTGGGTTTCCGTGTTTGAAGGCTAAATTGAATCACACACATCATACGAAAGAAAGGGGAACTTGATCTTTTCAGCCTGGTCATTGAATTTATGTGAATTTGTAGCTGACCTTTCAAAGATTTACTAGTACTCTTAGTTTAAATCAGTTATTACCTTAAGCGTGTTTTGGTACCTAATAATTTTTTTATAAGCATGTGACTTAGAAAATAAATACATTTGCATTCTATGTACTTCATACACTTTCTCAACTGTCCATCGCTCATCTTACAAGTTGGAGCTGGGGAACTGGAAATAGATGATTGGGGGGGGGCATTATTGTCTGTGTCACAAGAAATACTTGTTTCTGTGATTTCTTAATATTCGTATGGTGCACATATTATGAAGTTTGGCAAATTTTGTTAAGCACAATATCCTCTAAAATATTGCTCTTGTTCATTTTTGTTTGTCTATGTCTTGTTGATTGACTAAACTAAATGTCAAATTAGTCACTAGCTTTGTGATTTGGTTATCTTACCAATTGTGCATGATTTGGTTATTTTAGGAAGCTTGTGATGATCATCTTCGTGATGTCAAAGTAAAGTTGAGAGACCATTGGCAACGTACGCTGTCTGATCATTTAAATTCTCGAATGAGCTTCTTCTCTCTTTGTAAGTTCTCTTTATTGCAATAAACAGCATCTCTTCCTTGTCTGCCTTAATCACAGCTGCGAAGGTCATTGTTCTTTCTTGTTTTACACTTAAGGCCTGTTTGGGAGTGCTCCATTCCTATAGTATCCCAAAATACAGAGTTGTAGGTTAAAAATGAAGTTTTAAGCTTTTGTTTCCAGTTGTAAATGAGAACCATTATAGCTTACTGAGACACCAACCCTCACTCTTCTTCCAGGCTCCAGCTCCACCTTCATGGATTTGTGAAATAGGTGGAGCTGGAGGTCTGCTGAATAGGCTTTATGGTTGCTGAGTTTCGGTGGCTCTAAACCTGTTTGCTTTAACTATTTCTGGATTATTTGTTACTTGCACCATTCCAAATTGTAAGCCATTCTGGCTTTTCTAGCATAACTTTTACTATGTATCTAGACATAATGTATATCTAGGTGCATAGCAAAAGCTATGTATCTAGAAAAGCCAGAACGACCTATAATTTGAAATGGAGGGAGTATTTAATAACACTATAACAGTTATCTTGGCCTAGAGTGAATAAAGGTTTTAGTTATCGGTTTTTGTGGTAGAGCTCAGTAATATTAGAATAATAATTGTGTGCCTAAGTTTTATTTATTTGTGAGAAACAGCATCTCTCTGTCTTGATTGTAGCTGGGAAGGTAATGGTTCTTTTCTTTCCTGATACTTGGGGCCTGTCTGGGAGAGCAGAGAGCTCGAAAGCCTACATCTTAGTCTAAAATGAGAACCGTAAGGTTCACTGGCACACACACCCTCAGTCTACGCCCTTGACACAGTACCACAGATTATTGGAGCTGGAGCTCTCCCAAACAGGCCCTTATGGCAGCTCACATTGGTGACTTTAAAGCACTTTACCTTCGCTATTTCTGCATTTATATATTGCTTTATAAGAGATTATCTTAGCTAGAGCAAATATAGGTTTCAAAAAAGAATATCTTTTTTTTTTTGAATGTAACGGCAGGAGCTCTGCCTTTCAATTAAGAGAGGAAATAAAATTTTGTGTACAAGGGAAACAAGCCCTCCTGGGCAGACAAACAGCGACAAGGAGAAATAAACTCCAGAACTCAGAAGATGGGCTCTATCCCCTCCCTACAATGGCTGTCTGGGTTTCAAAAAAGAATATCTAAGACAGGTGATAAGTTATCAGATTTTACAAAACCAGGATTTTTTTCTACAATCTTGCATGAACCAGCTGTTGCCTGGTCACTTTTTTTACCACTGTCACTTAAGTGTTGATCTTACATTTGGCCATTTGTGTTACTTTTTGTATATGGAACAAGATAGCACTTTTAGTTGTTCTAAATCCCAAAGAGTGAAGTCTATTCATGGTGTATGCCTATTCAATCCCTGGTCTAATCATATTGCGGAAAAGATGGGTTACTGATACAATTTTAGCTCCACCAGTCAACTCCAAACCCTACTTTCTGTGATGCAGTAACTAAACAGCCAAATTAGGGCTGTATCTCGTTAAATTTGTTCACAGTATGATGTATGTATGCTTTCTATTTTCCTTAATAAAAAAAAAGGACAGACCCAGTGCTGGAGGCTCCCACATGAGTGGGGTCTGGGGAAGGGATAAACCGAGGCAAGCCTTTCCCCAAGCCTTTCCCCCGCAAAATCTGCGGAGAGGCTGCTTCGAACCCACGACCTGGTGACTCAGTGAGACAGCTCTCACCACTGCACCAGGCCTGCCCTTCTTTTCTATTTTCCTTAATGTTAGATATAATTTTATTCTTCATGTATTACTGTAGGTAACAGTTATCGTGACATAATGCATTGCAATAAGAAGCCATTTTATCTGAAAAGTAATGGTCCTGATTCCAGTACCATGGACGCTTATCTTATGCATGCTGTAAGCTTTACTATCTCTTTTTGGTCATGTTATTATTCTTGAACCTCTTGATGGCGCTGGCTAATCTGCAAAGCGCACTACTTCTGCAGTTGAATCATGTTCATAGGACGCGAGATGTTGTAATTAGAAATGACGCGAAGCTTAGGAATGACACTGACAGAGATATTTCGGATGATAAGACATACCTTGATCAGGGTTTTACGCGCCCAAAGGTACATCACATCAAGAATATTGACATGTTGAGCACCTGTTCTGTTGCCGTGGATACATTAACTGAGATTACACTACCAGATATTTTTTGTTGTATTTTAGTGTGCTATCCTGAATTTATTTTGCAATATTTTCTGTGATGTGTGTTGGCAAGAAAAAAGACATAATAATGCGAGGTGGATAGGTTATAAGAACACATTAAGCTGTCGTGACAGTTGATTCCTGCATGTTTACTCGCAATTTATGAGGAACTGTGTTTTATATGTGATCTGTAGAGCTCGGCTACATTATCCTTTTGTGTAATTATAAACCATGGCATGTCATGCTTCTTAAGATTCATGTGACCTTTATGTTAATTCCCTGATTTCTCAAATAGTATTTCTGTCCCACCAACAACTTATTGCCGTGTGGGCATGGTGTGTGGAAGTGTGCTGGAATATTGCAACAAAAAATGCTTGGAAATGTGTTCAAACCCATAACCTCAGTCCTGAATCGCATGGTAGTCCGTCCACTACTGTGCCATGCTTCTTTGATGACTTTGGTATGAAACTCTATATTTAAGCTGTTTTGAGCCAGTTGTCCAACCGTTTAGACCAGTCAAGGGTTTGTGGTTTGACCAGTATGGTGTCCAGTCCAATCCCAATAACTTTGCCCTTTGGGGATTTTTCCCACACCATCACCAAGGAAGCTCTGCAGGATGTGAAAGCTTTTAATAGAGGATGTCCTGGTCTAAACAAATAATATTGTCCTAAACTCCAAGCAATAGGGGTAAATAAATAGCCTACGAGGCATTTGGATAGAGGGATAGAGGGGGTGGGATAGGGAAAGGGAAATGGATGAACGGCTAGGATTAAACGAGGCGTAAAGAATGAATGGCTAGGATACAATATTACCCTTTGGAGGGTGAGATATCATTTCCCTATCCCATTTGCCAAACATACCATAAGGTCATTAGGTCATGCGTCTCATGGTGTCCAGCTGCTGTGTGGTCTCAAGGTGAAGCCTTGGATGACTTTGATCACATCTAAGCAAATAATATCTAATTTGACACTGCACATTACAGAAATTTATTATCCATAAATAATCGTGTTGGTGTAATTGTACTTCCAGTACAAATAAATATTGTTTTGGATATGCAGTCAACCATTTCAAATTGTGTAGTTGGGATATCTGAAAATTGATACAGGTGGATTTGTCTCAAAGTTTCATAACAGAATGCATTTGCTGTACTTTATAAATATATTACAACAGATATTAGTAGTCAAAGTTGTGTTTTGCGGACCATGTCGATGTCCAAAATGTCACTTATTTATGACTGGATTGAGTCCTTTTCTCATGCAATTGTCAATAAGTAAACTTATCTGGCATGCTATCGGTTTGGTACTTTGGTGGGGCCTGTACCATAAATCCAGTCTTTAAGATACATTCATATTAATCCTGTTTTCTTTTGTCTAAATATATTTTTAGGTTCTTTTCTTGTTACCTCTCAAAAGTTTTGCACGACGCATTGTGAAGAGATTGATCCAGCTTTCTCCATTGCCACAAAAGGTAAATTTTCATTTTCTTATATTTATATGCAATGATTTGGGTTCTGATTTCTTCAAGATGTGAAGTAAGTTTATATAAAAACAATCCTACATACATTTGATCCTTTTTTTCTGCTGATACAATAGCTGATAGGGTTATGTACAGATATAACCATATCAATAGCTCGCTCTCATGCTTTTATTTCTGGTGCTAAGTGATATCTTTCTCTTTTCTCTAGGATAGTGCCATGGGACAATTTAAAAAGGAGTTTGGTGAATCAGACGACGAGGGGATACCTGAACATAGCACAAAACCTGCAGACTTTGACCTTCTTTTTGCTGGAGATATTGATGATCACTTTCTTTTTGGCGTAAAATTAACGAAGTGAGTATTCTATATAATTACTTAACATTTACTCCCTCCATTCCATAATAGAAGGCGCAACTACCTTTTCTCGTAGTCCCAGAATACTGGGTGGCAGCTTCTGGGCTCCCGTTCCACGCATGCAACATTTAGTGTGGTGTTGGATGGACACTCCTTGGCTCCCATGCCCATGCAGCTAGACACTGGCACAACATCTTCTCTCTCTCTCTCTCTCTCTCTCTCTCTCTGTAGTAGTACAGCATCTTGCATGAGGCAGCAGAAGTGAAGCATTTTTCCTCGGAGCTGGGCAGGAGTAACTGCATTTCTTGGTCTACTGGGATGGAAGAGCATTAAGTATTTAAGTTGCTTATAATAATTTTCAGTTTCAGACTGCAGCTTGTTTCTCTTCACTGTCCACAGATTATAGTTAAAATGGTCTTTCCTCCTTTTACCATCACATGATTGCAAATTGACAGTTTGGATTTCAATGTATATTGAGTTGTGGATCTATAACTATATATTTCACTATGTTCCCATTTCGAGTTTCAATCAGCAGCTTTTATTTTAGTCCTTTGTTGGAAATCCATGTCATAATCTTATTTTCATCATTACAATGTTCAGTACTCATCCATTTGCCTGGACTTCACTGAATTTTACCTTCTACAAAACAATCATATGTCACATGTTTGTCTTTATCTTTTGCAATGGTTTGATAATTTGATCTTCTATTTTCAGAATTTGGCATTTAAATTCAATTGTCCTCGTTCGTGAAACTCACTTTGCAAAATAATTTGATTCAAAAAGTCGTTGCCAAGTAATGCATCAGGTGTTATGGTGTTCTTAAATCAATTTTGGCTATGGAATAGCAGTTATTTCACATTCTTTGTAATTTAATGATGTTGTTTGTTCTAGTCTATAATAGTATGGCGCCTTAAAGTAAAAATTGTTAGTCTATGATACTCATTTGAGTGGCAGGTGCCAGGTGGCATATTCTGTTTCTTTGTACACTGCTACACACACAACCTAAGATCAAACTTCGTGAACTTTGAGCAACAATTAATCTAACAATATGTAGATAATATTTATTAAGAAAAAACCATTGGGTTCATATTTTAATGTTTTTTCTTATGAACGTGATATTGCCATTATCAATAATATGTCATAAGAGAAATTAATGCTCAAAGTTTAGTTTGGAGACTGCCACGAGTCATACCATGCCTTATTTTTTGAAACGAAGGGAATATAATCTTATGACCAAAATATAACTTTCAGAAACAGATAAGCTAGTCTTCCTGAGAATATATGCTCTACTTATTTTTTTCTAGCATATTGATTACTGAGAATGTCTAAATAATTAATGTTTGAACTAATGTTTCTGCAGGAAATCTATTAAGCTGTATAGTAACTTCTATTCTTCTGATATAATAGTTGCATCTCCTTTAGCACTGAAACGTGTAAGTATTTTTTATTTTCAAAAACAAGATTTCTTCATAGACTTCATAACCTGTACTTACTCGTGTTCTGCAGTTGTACATTACTCTTATTCTGGGCAGACCTTGTATGCTATTGTCCTATTGATCTAGAATTTGATGTACTCCTTCCTGAAAAGTATATGGAAATTGCTAGAATACTTAGGATATGACACTGGTGGTGGTTAGCCAGTAGTATTGTGGGGAGATCCAGGTGGGAACCGCTGTATGCTATAGCAAGAAGCTGGTTTTTTTGGGTGGTTTTGCAATCTTGCTTCGTAGAATGTACAGTGGAATGGGAGGAAGTATGCAAGATGTGTCATAGTGCTGATGGCAGAACTTGTGGGTACAGGTAAATGTAAATGGCACTACACTTCTAGTGTGATGGCTTTGAGAAGTAGCAGCTTCTGTAGGACAGAATCCTCGGGAAAATGCTGGTTGAGGAAAATGCATTAATAAAGCCTTCATGGAGATTAGCTGTTGGATTGGTCAATCTAAATGATACCTGTCTGATTGGATGAACGAAACAGTATTATCGAAAGCAATAAATAGTGTCATCAAGCTTTAGGTGTTTCAAGCATGATTGGAGATTTGTCTGATATACTGAACTTTGATGGGGGGTATAAAACACTGTCTGAAACCAAGCCATTTCAGCATCCCTGCTATGATCTTGTCAATCTTCATCTTGTTCCCCTCCTTTTGTAGCAAGCTCCATCCCTGCAAACAAGACAATCCAGCAGAAAATACTCTGTTGTCTTAATAGAAAACTTCCTCTCAATGGCCCATCTTGTTCCTTGTTCAAAAGGCCTGACTGGTAGGTCACCAAATTCTTTGGGATCCAAATAAACAAAAAGTCTACCAGTGATTAAGGTGGTTGTCCTATCTAAAAGTCTTCTGTATGCCACACCATTAGAACTTAGCTATATAGCAGCCATAAATTTTATCTGTATTTTTTTTATTGTTAAACGCCAATTTCTTTCACCTCAGCTCATAACTTTGTTTTCTAATTAATTACATTAAATTGAACTTCTGGAACATGTATATTGTTATGGAGTTCTATTGTTTATGCTTTATGCTTTTCTGTTATCAGAAAATTGATGGAGGAGAACATGGCAAGGAGAAGGATTTTGATTTCCTATCTTCAATTGAAGTTAGTTCCTTTGACCTTATGATCTATTCGCCACCTCATTACTAGATACACGTCTTTTTTTTAAACCATAAATAGTATGTTGAGAATCTAAATTCACATGAAAAAAAACGTATAAACTATATCTCTCACCCAAAGTACTCCAGAATATTGTATGTTGCAGGTTGCTAATGTATTAGTCTATTTGAACAAGAACTGATTCAAAGATTTGTATCTCAACATAGACTTGTATTTAGGAATGGAACAGAGTGCATTTTTTTTCCTTCTGTTTCTCCTTTCTCCTTGTTTACTTATTTCTAAAATGGTTTGTATGCAGATAGTTGTGGTTGATCATGCAGATGTGATATCTATGCAGGTAAACTTCAAGGCTTATATATTTTTCTACTTACATTTGGTTTTGTACCTTTTGGTACAAATGACAGTTTATGCATGGATGTAGAACTGGGAGCATCTGGAGGCTGTGTTTGAACAACTTAATCAGTTGCCAACAAAAGAACTTGGAACCAATGTGATGCGAATTAGACCATGGTAATTCTGTTTCCTTGAATATTTTTAATGCTCTGATAACATCGACTCTCTGTATTGTGGACAGTCAATTTTCATGGCAATTCATTATTAATTATTTATGTGTATTCTCAAACTATATCCATATATTAATTAAGCTTGTACGTTGATGTCCAAGGTACTTGGATCAGCATGCACAGTACTATAGGCAGACAATACTGTTGAGCTCATACCTTACACCAGGTATGGATTCAGCTGGAATGTGGTTTTGACCTGCCCCCTTCCCTCCTCTCCTCTTGTTTTCAGTAACATAGAAACTGGTGCTCAAGGCAACTAGTTATGCACAGGAACCACGAGACCTTGATTAGTTATTTGGTTGATAAATGATAATTTAATGATGCTATGCAGGCTTCTTTTACATCTATTACATATTTGTCCATTTGTTTGTTCATATACCTATGTGCATTTCAAATTTCAATTGTTTTCCATGTTATGCAGAGATTAATGCTTTATTTAATGGATTATGCTTAAATTATGAAGGAAAGGTATGCCATGATTGAAATCACTGAGTTAGCTGTTTCTTTCCTCCCTTTAAGGGAGTACATGTATTGTTGAATTAATAGTTTTATAACTTCTACTAGATTAAAATGGTGACCGAGTATGCAGGTGTTGTTCCCAAAATACAACTTGAAGTGCGGCAGGTGAATGCTCTTATCCATCTTGATTCTGCCACATTGTTGCATATATAGTGAATAAAACTTAAATTTTACTCATAGATATATTTGTGTAAAAAAAGGTCTTAATGCCATGGATTCAGAATCCTCCTGAGTTATACTAAAGTTCATGCATAATTTTATATCTTATTTACCAAAACAGTTCTTGACTTTTAATCCTTTTCAATGTGCAATTACTAAACAGGTGTATGAACGATTTGATGCATCTTCTATTGCTGAAGCTGATGATGCACGCTTTGATTATTTCTGCAACAAGGTCTGTTCTTTTATGCTTGTATAAGATATCTTCCAATGTACTGGAGTTAGCTCAAATACTACATTTCTTATAATGAAGGATTTACTAGTTACATAATAATCTGAGCAACTTTGTACTATCCTTCAAAGTGTACTTGGGCTAGTTCAAATTCTACAAACATCCTAGCAAATCGATCTATCTTGACAGTCTAGTCAGTAAACTTATCTGATAACCAGCTAACTGATCTTACCAACTTGACTAAATCTCTAAGCAAATATCTAGCTTACTTGACTGGGCTAGCTCAAGCTGTGGGAAGCTTATTGGCATGTGGCCTTTAGGTGTGCCCCACCATGACAGTCTCTTGGCTACGTACTGCTGAAAATTCTAGAGTTATTATTTCACCATTTTTCGTGATCTATTCCATAAATAAATGTGTGTTAATATATTATTTAATACATCTGTCCTTTTTATATTATATGATGTGTTACAGGTATATCCAAAGATCCAGGACTTGGATGAGGTATGCTCTATTCTGTTATGTGCGAACATTCAGTTGTGTTTGATACTTTGGAAATTTTGTAGGAACTTAGTTTTTGATGCTCAGCATCTCCTGTAAATATTGATAATGTCCATGCTCCTACAATGACTATCTCTTGCAAGATTCGCTAATTGTCTAGTGCAATGCAGGGTGGATTGCTGCTATTCGTTAGTTCGTACTTTGAATATATTCGAATAAGCAATTTCTTAAAATTTAAGGAAGCGTCATTTTGTCGAATTGGAGAGTGAGTAGACCTTCTTCTCATTATTGATTATTTTATTAGTTCAATTTAAGTTATCTGCCCTTAGTCTTAAGACAAGTGGTATTTATCTCAATGTGCTCCCAAATCAGGGCTACATCACAACAGGATATATCTCGTTCAAGACTCTGGTTTTTTGAGGGCAAGAAAAAGATCTTGCTTTATAGTGAAAGATCTCACTTCTACCACCGATACAAGGTAAACTTGTCTGAAGCATTACTTATTGTATTCTGCGATTCCTGTTGTTTCTGTGTTAGGTGTATTGTCTAAGGATATTCGTCATTATTTCTTGACGTGCAGATCAGAGGAACAAAGCATTTACTAATTTATTCATTGCCAGGGAGAAAAGAATTTTATCCAGAGGTATTGACTAAATTGCAATTTCATTGCTTTGTCTCATGGTTTACGGTGAAGAGGTTTTGAAAGTTAAACTTCCTTGGGTTTGTATCTTCCTTTCAGCTTGTAAATATGCTAGGTGAATCAGAGAACCGGAAGTGCAATGTCCTTTTTTCTCGTCTTGACCTTCTTAAGGTGAGTTCATTATTTCACTAAGTTTGGTTCCATCATGGAAACTGTAATCTTGTCCCGCTATTAATTTCATGCTCTGCAGAAACATTCATTTCATGGAGTTTGTGATCCATAGTATCATGCAGTTCAGCTGTTCAGTTAGCAGTATGAACAAATTTATTTTAATCTTTGTAGTCGCACTATCAAATTTCACACAGTCTGGATTCAAGATTGAATCACAAGCTTTCGGGTTTTGAGCTTCTGTTTGAAAATTTGTCTCACCTGGTTTTGGTTAATGCTCAACAGTTTCACATGCAATTCTCTCCTGATTATTTGCTAGTCTTGTGTATATCCAATTTCTTATGCTGTATCTTTTACAAGTTTATATGCATTGCTTGACTCCATGAGTTAATCTCCACCAACATGTTAGTTATCCTTCGTCTTCGTGTGAATTGACCTTGTTGCTAACTTGCAGTTAGAGCGGATTGTTGGGACATCTTCCACACGAAGGTTGATTTCCTCGGACAAGGGCATGTTTGTCTTCTGCTGATGTAGCCATGTGTCGACAAAATATGGTCGGCAGTCCACCGAGGGGGGTGTCCGTGGTGGTAGATTATCGGTAGGATGTGCGTAATCAGGAACCAGATGGTGACACAAGGCGCAGAGACAATGATTTAGACAGGTTCGGGCCGTCTGATCGACGTAATACCCTACGTCCTGTGTCTTTGGTGTATTGTATTGAGATGTATACAGATTAACCTGTTCTCTAGGGGACCCTTGTCTCTCCTTATATACTCTGAAGAGACAAGATTACAAGTAAAGTATTCAATTTGGTACTATTACAATATCTAGTACAACTTGTAATCTTGATGTGCACGCCTTGATCTTACGGGCCGGGCCACCTCGGATGGTGCGGCCCATGTACCATCTTGTGGTACCCGGGGGTATATCCCCCACAGCTAGTCCCCGAGCGTCATGTATTCTGATGCGACACGCCATTTTAACCTTCTCCGAACAGTGAGGCTTGAGTTCTTACATCTCCGACCACCGTTGTTGCCGGAGAAGTATGTTGTTCGAAGAATGTATGGTGCTCTTAAGAAGAAAGAAAAAGATTTCCGTCCTGTGAAGTGTGCCCACTTGTATTTCTGAAAAGAAATGTAAGTGCGTCTTGAAGCGTAGCGTCTTTGATCATCAGAGGCGTAGTGGTCGAAAAACAAACACATTCACCGTAAGGTGAAGTGTGCCTACTTAGTCCTTGAGCCTGGTAGTAGGTGACGTAGGCACGTGGTGCCAGGGTCTAAAAAAGAATTCTCAGTTAAGTTGAGAACCTAATCGTCGTACAGGCGATACGAGATGCACCGGCAGGTACATCGTACCGATGTAGTCCCCGAGCTTGCTGGAAGGCGAGGTATGAGCCTTGTAGCAAGGTCTAAGTGAGAAAAAATATCCCAACTGTATGCGAGTCGTCAGTCGCATGTAGTCGAGACGCAAAGTCCCCGAGCCGTGGTCAGAGAGTGGTCGAGGTAGTCCCCGAAACACAGTGTCGAGGAGCGGCGACGAAGTCCCCGAGCCGTGGTCGGAGAGTGGTCGAGGCAATCCCGTGCGTGAGAAGCGAAGCGACGAAAATCCCGAGCCGTGGTCGGAGAGTGGTCGAGGCGATCCCCGTGCGTGAGAAGCGTGAAGTCGAGCGTGGTCGAGAGTCCCCGGCGTGGTCGGAGAGTGAGTGGGCGGCGGTTTCCCCGCACATGGTCGAGGAGTCGAGCGAGCTTCGAAAGTCCCGAACATAGCTCGAAATTACTTACGCAATATAAATATGTAGAATGGTAGTACATGATGTACAAAATAATAAATTATGGAGAAAATGACGCTCAACAGTCATTTGCAAATGAGCATGATGTGATAAAGCAGTTGGTGCTTCGTAAACATCAGTGTTAATGTGAAGTTTGTGTCTATACTTAATATAAACTGCCCGACCAGTTAGTATATAGCTGAGTCTCCAGCCCTAGCTAGCCCGTTAACCATAACGCGGGGCGCGGAGCCCGTGCACGTGTAGGAAGAACAAAGCGTCGCTAAGGAGCCGCTGCCGACCACCCATAACGCAGAGGGCAGACGCTCGTGCACGTGTAGGGAGGAGCCGGAGACAGGGCCTTTTCTGGAGACATCTAGTGTCAACATGATTGGTCGAGGATTTGCATTAAGTATAGCTGTATGTTATCTTTAAGATGGTATACATGGACAAACGTTATTTCAAGAATAATTATGACGAGGACACTGTGGAGAAACGTCGTAATGAAAATTGTGTTAAATATAAATATTAGAAGTGTACTTATCTTTGGATAGAAATCTGGTCGGCGGTGATGAAGTCGTCCGGTCCTCGAGCTTTCCGACATGTCGTCATGACGGTGGTCGCGGTTGTCGTAGCGCCGTTCTTCGCGGCGATCATCATTGCGACGTGGTCTGGTGATCGATGTGGTCGGAGCTTGGCAAAGCCGCTCGGGACGTGGTCGACGTGGTCCGGTGGTCGAAGGTCGGCGGAGCCGCTCGAGACGTGGTCTACGTGGTCCGTGGTCGATGGTCGAACAGGGCGTAGTCGGAACGCGTTGGCCATGCAAAGGTCAGAGCTCGCAACGTGCGGAGTCGTGGTGTAGCTTGACGAAGTCCAGAGCATGGGTTGAAGTTGTCGGCGTCGATCCCATTGATGTCGAAGTCAAAAAGCGTCGAAGTAGAACTGTGTTCCTGGGGCAAAGCGCATGGCCTCGACACCCGCTGGTGGAGACTTGGATAAAAACGGCTTGCTTGTATGATCCATGGTCTTCGTATGCATGGTGCTGTAGATGCACGTGCATGCAAGCGTTCATGTATGAATACATACAACTCCTGATTGCTTGCATGCCGGATTGGGTCATGTCGTGAAGACGTCGGACTCCTTGTCGTAGCAGAGGCAATCAGCGCGGAAGCCGAAGCCCCGTCGTGTCTGAGTTGGAGTCGGACGTGGTTCGGATGGCCTGTTCATGCGCGTATATACCCGTATACGCCTTGGTGTTGCTTGCTTGTGGAAGCTATATCTAGCTTGCATGATGACGTAGATCATGAACCCATGCATGCAAGCCAGAATTAGCCAGCACGCCTTTCAGATCTTGAACGCTCGTTTGTTTACTGGATGGATGATTCTGGAATCGTCGGTTCGTGGCGTACGGAGTGCGCAATTAGGCTCCTGCCAGAAATAATCACGTACATGCAGAGATCCATTGTATATTCGATAGAATAGTTAATTGAAATAGGAAACATGACTTAGCTTGCCATATTGGTGGGCTTGAGCTGCAGACGTGCATGCAGATTGGCCTCTAGGTGATGGAATATTTGGTGAACATGTGTCTGTCTTTGCTGGCACGTGAATCTGCTCTTGCACGTGTGAGAGGTGTATGCGCGTATATGCATGCGTCCATGCATGTCTCCATTGTTCGTTTATTCATCATCGGCTTGCATGGTCTTGTAGATACACGGACCTTTGCCTGCTTGATATTGATTGGATCTTATAGCAAAGTTCGTGGCGGTAGGACCTGATGCGAAGCTTCCCGGAGCGGGACTCCCGGTACGGATGCGGTCCGCAGTACAAACGCCACGTAGTCATGTCACCGAGTCCTCAGCGGGTCGGCGAAGTCAGAGAAGACGCCGATGACGAGGTTGCGTGTATGCGGCTGTAGGCCATGCGTCTTGATTGGATCTCGGCGACTGGACACTTGTGTAGGAGCACCTTGCCAGCGGCAGCCGTACTAGCTGGACGCACGGACCGTCGCCGAGAAGATGCTATTGATCTTAAGGTACGCCATCTGGTTCACCATGGATCAACGCGCACCCCCCCTACCTGGCGCGCCACTGTCGACAAAATATGGTCGGCAGTCCACCGAGGGGGTGCCCGTGGTGGTAGATTATCGGTAGGATGCGCGTAATCAGGAACCAGATGGTGACACAAGGCGCAGAGACAATGATTTAGACAGGTTCGGGCCGTCTGATCGACGTAATACCCTACGTCCTGTGTCTTTGGTGTATTGTATTGAGATGTATACAGATTAACATGTCCTCTAGGAGACCCTTGTCTCTCCTTATATACTCCGAAGAGACAAGGTTACAAGTAAAGTATTCAATTTGGTACTATTACAATATTTAGTACAACTTGTAATCTTGATGTGCACGCCTTGATCTTACGGACCGGGCCACCTCGGATGGTGCGGCCCATGTACCATTTTGTGGTACCGGGGGTATATCCCCCACACCATGTAGCAGCCTAGTAGGTTAGCCCCTACTGTTGAGCAGATGAATGCTTTTTATATTTATCCATAAGCTATGTTTTGACCATATACCATCTATTATTAACAAATCCACTCTGGGGATATCCATGTGATCTATAAGGTCCGCCAAAGAGTTACGTTGTTGGATGCACCGGAGCACTACGGGCTGTTTGGATGACGCCCCGACCTGAAGCGCTCACCCAAACAACTAAATTCTAGTCCCAGGCGCTGTTTGCTTGTTTGCCTGCCGGGCAATTTTGCAGCCAGACAAGAATCTGGACATTAGACTAACAAAATCAAAATCCGTTTCACTACTAACAGATTTTATTTAAATGTTGGATGAATTTAGGATGAGCCATTAAAGGTAGGCTGTTGGATATGTTTTAGGTATTCTTTTATCTTTTCTCAAGTTGCCAGACTCCTCTTGAGCCGTAGTCACCTCTTTGGCTCCGTTTGGTAGGTCTGGCTCCTCGTGTGGAGAAATTTTTTTTGTGAGTTAAAGCCGTTTTTAAAACATTTGGCAAAAATAGTTCGAGTGACAATTTTGTAATAATCTGTATTATGTTGTGAGAGACCACTTTTTTTTAGCTGTCTCCTTAGTACAAAAGCACAGCTCCTTCGAGCTTCTTGCAAGGAACAGTTTTTTCAGATGGCTGTTTGACAGGGCTCCCTGTGAGGAGCCACAGGAAACCAGAACCGGAGCCATGCTAAACTGAGCCAATGTCTATCTCCTCTCCTTGTCACCTGGTTTTTTTTTGCGCCTCTCATCTAGGTACAACTATAGTATCTGTTCATGAACAGACACACACCAACACCACACACACACACACACACACCACACTCATAC